GCCTCCTGCCCCTCACTCTGCCCAGGTATCTTAGACAGGGCTCTAGCCACAGCAGGGCAAGCTTGGTGCCAGAGGGCAGGACATCAGATCTCCAGTACCCAGTTCTCTGGCCCTGTTAGTTCAAAGAACATCTGTCAGTCCATTGAGCACACCACTGAGGAAAGCAAGCTCTCTCTGAAAGACAAAGCCAGTTTACCAACTCCCTGTTAGGTCAACTGGAACCTTGGTACACTCTAGATTAGATAGTTTACCTTCTCTGGCTAAGCCTGAGGGCATAGACTAGTCCTTGTTCCTTCTTGTATACCCTGAACAAACTCTCTACCTTCCCCCAGACTAGTGGGCTATTCTCTCACCATGCTATTTGGTGCTTTGAGGCTCTGAAGTCCCTATGCAGGGCTCCCTACTCTCAGGGCTGAGCAATATTGGTCAGGGAGGTAGGATGCCTGAGAATGGAGAAGGTAGATTTAAAGCTCAGGAACTCGTGAGCCTTTTGAGCTAGGGTCAGCCCATAGCAAAGGAAGGCTTCCTTCTATTATTATCACCCAGGGCAGCCCCGGAGAGGCTGAGAACCTTCAGCCAGGGACAGCCCAGCCTCTCTCCTATATTCCTGCAGTGATCCCTGAGATTGCTTGAGAGAGTTCACTATGATGACTTACCACCACCTGTGAGGGGGTGGTAGCAGTGGGCCTCCCCAGGCATGATGCCAGTGGTACCTTTTCATTTGTAGTGCTATTTGCAGATATGGGCTGCTCTACAATCTAGCTGATTTAAAAAAAAACAAAACACTGGCTGGTCACCTGGAAGCATCATGAAAACAGAGTGTAGGGGCAGCCTGACTCTTGCTGTGGGGAGAGGTCCAGTTGTCATCCTGGCATGGGGAGAGGGTTGATGACTTTCCTTGAGTACTGTTCCTCTGCACCATCCCTTCCACTTGCTTGTGGGGACAGGAGACTGCAGCTGAGATAATGGAAAGTTAATTTTCCTGACTGCTCCATTATCACATGCTCGTTCTAATTCTGACTGCAGGGAATCTCTGTTCCAGGGCTGGTGGGGCTCTGTACACAGCCCTCCTCTCCCTGTGCTCAAGGCACAGCAGGGTGCTCAGGATTGGTTGTCCCTGTCCAAAATGGGCTGCCTTCCCTTTTTTAGATGTTAGTTGAGCTGTGAATTCCTTATTTTTGGCAGCATGACAGGCTGGGAACAAGGAGTAGCACGTGGGAGAAATGGGTTTGCCAATCTGCAGGGCTGGGGGTGGGGTGGGGAAGGGGGTGGCAGAGTGCTGAAAACACAAGCTGTTTAACGCTTTCCTTTCAGGGGCTCTGTGCCGCCAGTGAAGCTGGGCCTGGAGGTGGACCACAGGCTGGAGAGGGTTGGCCTGGGTAGTGCTCACTGTTCTGCCCATCACCACACCAAAATGCCTCCATTGGTGGCAAAATGGGGCAAGTCTTGTGTGTGTCCTTTCATTCACAGCTTTCTGAGCAAACTGAGGCACACTAGCATTCTGAAGGCAGAATGAGGATATTGCTGACCAAGGTGGAGAGGCTCTGTTTCTGCCTGAGGTGGTTCCATCTGAGCCTGGGGGCTGAGCCAAACTGACCCCAGTCAGCACACCTGGATTCCTTTCCCTAATTATGTTCTGGCTAGCCTCGGTGCTACTATTTTCCTGGTGTTCCTCTGCTGCCCCTGAGTTACTAGTTGCTCTTTGGGGTTGTCTCATGCTCCTCTGGGATCTGAATAAGGCATTCTGTGCTCTGTCTAGGTCAGTGCTTCCCAGCTTTTTCCTCAGCATGACCCCAGTTCTTCTTCATGGCCCCTGACTCACCACTCTCCCTGGTACCCGTCACTCCCAACCCACAGGTCCCTGAACTTGCTGGTGTCCTTCACTCCACTCCCCTTCCATAGCCCTCCACCCTTGCTGGTGTCCTTCATTTGGGACCCACTGCGGCCGAGCCCCACCTGCTGCCCACAGGAGGCGGCGGTTGCTGCAGCCAGAAGGGGGCGCGGAGCCTGGCTTCCCTGTCCCTGTGAGTGGCATGGCCATCATGGGGGTGCAGATGTGGGCTGCCCACTTGGGGCTCCCTGCCCTGCTGCCCCACTCTTGCCTCCAGGGCCCAGTGGGCGGGACTCATTGTGGAAGGGCAGGGAGGCTTGGTACCACCACTGAGAGCCCCATGCCAGCCAGGCTGCTGTGGCAAGGTACCCCCTGGTTGCCCAGCAGCAGTGGCGTGGAGTTGTTCCCTGCACTGCTGCTGGGTGAGCAGGGGATACTTTTTGCCATGGCAGTATAACCGGTGTGGGGCCGTGGAGGCCCTGGGCGGATGGCAGCAGGGCGGGGAGCCCTAAGCTCGCAATGGGTAGCCTGCATCTGCTCCCCCTCCCCCAACAGGCTCCATGACCCCATTTTGATTATGACACCAAATGGGGGCATGACCCCAAGGTTGGGAACTGCTGCTCTAAGTCATGTATATGCTTGCCCCTCACTGGTTATTGGCCCTCTAGTTGGCCCTGATATTGGGCCTCCCTCTGCTCCAGGTTAGGGAGTTGTTCCTTTCTGGGCATCATAAGTCATGCTAGTGTGCCTCCTTGCTGGATTTGTTCCCTTGGTGTGATAAATCTCATGAATCCTGGGAAAAGCCATGGTTTGTGGAGAAGGTGCAGCTGCTGGAGTACTTAGTGGGTTCACATCAGTATGTCTAGGCTGGGGGTGCCTCTGCCTCTGCATTATAACACTGCATTAATTTAGTTCACACTGGGTGCCTCCATGGGAGGTACTAAATTAATGTGCATTAAGCTGCGCTAATGCACAGTAGCACATTTCATGCTTTTTTTTTTTTTTTTTAGTGACACTTAATGTGCAGTAGATTATTCTACTGTGCATTAGTGTAATGTTACGTTTTTTACGTGGGTGTAGGTTGTAGCCGTGTTGGTTGAACGGCATAGGCAGACAAGGTTCTTTGGGTGAATCTGATATCTTTTATTAGACCAACTTAAATAGTTGGAAAAAATATTTTAAGCAAACTTTCAGGTTTAAAAACCCTTTGTCAGGCTGAGGAAGTTTCTGCAGTTGGTGTGTGCTCCTCCTGGATGGAATGAAAAGTAAAGTAAAGAAGCCAGAGGCTGTTATGCATACAAGATAGGCAGTCATTGAAGATGTAAACTGAGGCGTCAGTGGGTGAGAGATGGGCTAGGTGCGGGGGGAGAAGGGGGATGCATGTAGCAGTTAAATAGTGGAGAGGTACCTGGGGAGTTGGATGTCAGGTAGGTTATAATGGCTGCCACATCTGCATCCCATGCCCCTCTGCATCAGCTGGCAAGTGGCAGCAGGGTAGAGTCCCCGCTCCCAGCACTGATGTGAGTGTGGTAGTGTTGGGGCTATGCCCTGTTGCCACTTGGAGTGAGCTGCTCCTTCATTGCGCCTCCGGCACTGGCTGGGCCAGGCTGGGGCTGGGCAGGGCAGCCATCGGGGCTTCTCTGTGGCTCCTGCTGTTGGGGCAGCTCCGCACTCGCTGGCTCTGGCAGCGGCGACCAGGGCCTCTGAGGGCTTGTGGTAGAGCCCCACGGGGCAGTTGGGGGCCAGCAGGGATCACCATGCCTGGCAGCCGTGCAGCAGCTGCCCCATGGTATGGGTGCAGCATGGCTTGGCAGGGCACTGTGCTATCTGGGAGCTGGGGCAGCTCCAGCACTCAGCCAGAGCTTGGCACTGCTCAGCCCCAGTGACCCCAGATCCCAGACAGTGCACAGCACGCTGCCAAGCTGCGCTGCACCCGTGCGTGCCAGGCAAGGCAGGGTGATCCCCATTGCCCCTCACTGCCCTGTGCTGGGGGGGGGGAAGGGATGGCTCTGCCACAAGCCCTCAGAGGCCCTGATTGCCACTGCTGCAGCTGGTGAGTGCTGGGCTTTTTTAGTGCCAGGAGGCTGGGGTTGGTCAGGTAGCCATGGGGGCTTCTCCTGTGGCTCCCCCTGCCCAGGGAGAGGCAGGCACAGTCAGAGGAGGCGCAGGAGAACCTGAAGCCACCCAGTGTGCCTGCTTCTCCCCGGCTGATCTGAATCTCTGAGATTCGAATCACTGTCCCCATTTGATTTGGCCGAATCAGAGTTGAATCACTGACCTCCGAAACAGCTGAATCGTAATCGAATAATTCCCTATTCTCACAGGCTTAGTAGCTATGGTACCAGTGTTTTCTGAGGCCATAAGCCATGCCTCTTTCCTTCATCCTCCAGGTAGAGCCTAGCTTTAAGCACCAGTGCTGAGGACAGTTGTGTGTGGTGTAGAGGGGTATGGTATTAATGAAGCAACTGGGAATTGCCAAAGATCTGGCCTGACTAGTGCAAGCAGTGGCTGGGAACTAGAGGGAAACACCTATGAATGGCTGATGCCTCTCACTTAGCCTCGGTGTGGGTGCTCTGTATGCTGCTGGGCAGAAGAGACTGTGCCAGTGGGCTAGTCAAACTGGTGCTTGCCTTCCCAGTCTTATGGTAGCTCAAAGCAGTGAAGTTGTCTGCGCCTGTTCCCTCCTAAGCTGCCAGAAGGTGTTGTGCAGTGTGAGTGAGCTTATGGTAACTCCTGTTCCTTCTGTCCCATGGTGGACTTAAGTGCTTCTTAGCAACCTGTCCTCTGGGGTGGCCTGTGCTGTACCTGATGCCCTGTTGCAGTGCTAGGCTCCTGCTCTCCCTTAGGAGAAGTATCACAGATGCTGGATCTGGCTCTGTTCATGCCTTGCCTAGGAGGCAGCCTGTGAGTCCTGGGTCTTAGGGAAGGGGCAGAGCTGGGGAGAAGCAAACCAGGGCACGTTCCACATGTTCAGGGAGCTGGGCAGGGGCAGGGAGAGCTTGTGGAGGGCAGTAGGTGCTCTTGCAGGCCGTGAGTCACCCAAGTGCCAGGTTGAGCTGATGTTTATGTGGGGAAGCAGCTTTACTCCTTCCCATTCAGTATGTCCCTTTCCTACCCTCCCTGCCAGCCCCTTGGCCCTTTTTCTTGGTTAGTGCCTCAGCTTGTTTCCTGACTGCTACACGTTAGGATTGGGGTAGTAAAAGTGAGGAACTCCTGCCATATGCTGACTTTGGGCTGCATGCCAGCCTTCTTTGTTGTCTTCCCACCTTGTTGGGATGATATTGGTTTGATTCAGGCAGGAGCAGGGTGATGATGAGGGAGGACTGATGGGTCCTAAGGTCCAGCTTGGTAAGAGTAGGTATTGAGTATGTGGATGGGACTTTAGGCCTGGCTTAGTTGGGGCAAGTAGGTCACAGATGCATCTCCAGGCCTGGCTTGGTTTTGGGTGGGGATTGGGAAGGGTAGGTCACAGAGGTACTCCTGAGGCCTGGATGGTTTTCCTCACCTGCCCTTCTTTTCCAGGATGCACTGAAACCTGCATTCACAGTTACCAACTTGCCTGGGACAACATCAACCATCCAGACTGCGCCCACCACCTCCACCTCCATGCAGGTCAGCAGTGGCCCCTCATTCCCAATCACCAACTACCTAGCACCAGTCTCTGCCAGTGTCAGCCCTAATGCCGTCACCAGTGCCAATGGGACAGTCCTGAAAACCACTGGAACCAGTGCAGTGACCTCCGGAGGGCTAATGCAGATACCCACCAGCTTCACCCTCATGTCAGGTTAGTAGCCTCTAGAGAACCAGGGGTCTTTGGGTCTTTCTGCAGATGCCTCAGTGTCAGGAGTGTCACCTCTGTTGTTGTTTGGGAACAGGTGCAGAGAGGATCAGGGTGCATGTCAGGGCTAGCCATTTCTAATTGAGGGTGAAGTGTGCTTAGCTCCTTTGCCCCAGTACTTTCAAAACAGTGAGGGGGAGCCCCCAACTGAATTAACTCAGCAGTTCTGGCTTGACCTCTGCTCTGCCAGCTGGCTCTGCTGCTGGGCCCATGACCTCTGGGGATGGAGTTGTGCTGGTTTACTGCCTTCATGGGGTCCCTATTGGTGGAGATCACAGGGATCTGAACTGCATTTGGAGCATCTGTTAGCCCACATCAATGGCAGCACCTTCCTGCTCCCTTCCTCAGACTGGGTACTGACTCAGACTTGGAGGAAGCTCAGCACAGGCTTGGGGTTGGAGGAAGTAAAAAGCTGATTTGGCTGAAGCCTTTCTTTCTCCCTCCTTTTGGCAGGTGCTCCGCTCCCTCCGGGGACCCCCACCATTCCTCTCACTCAGTTACAGCCACACTCACAGGGCCAGGCAGTCGCAGGTACAGCTGGACAGCTGCAGCAGGCACAGCAGACAGTCTTCCGATTCCCTGCCACAGCCGGAGGGCAGATCGTGTCTCTGACAGGTCAGCGCTCACTTCTCCACTTGCTTGAGGTGGGGTGTGTAGGTGTCTGGGGGGAGGCCAGTGGCCTGTGCAGGGTTGCTGAGTCAGGCCAGGCAGGACCCTAAGTACAGAGGAGTTTGGGCGAGGTGCTGTGGTGGGCAATGCTCGCCCACTATCTGGGGGCTGAGACTGGTAGGCAGGCGAGCTGTGTCCTAGACAGGGATGGGGTCAACACTGGACAATGATACTAGGTTCAGTATTGCTGATCCAGTATCGCTGGATCCTACCAACTTTGGTCATAACCCAGAGCACAGATGCATGCTGATTTGCCCCAGGCTGAAGCCAGGCCTGGGCACAGAGGGGGTCCCCAGTGGTATTGTGTCTCCACGTAGTTTCCTCTTTCGCTCGTAGGAGCTCCTTCAGTTGGTCATGTTAGGCCACTGCGCTCTGGACCCTAGGGCTGGGTGCCATGGTGTGGGTGAGTTCTGAACGGGGATTTGAATGGAGAGGAGTGGGTGGGTGGACATACTGCAATAGACTGATATGTTGCCCAGAAAGCTGCTGATTAGAGGCTGAGTTGGGCTGAATGGAAGGAGGGGCCTTTAGGGGCTCAAACAGCTGAGGAGCTTGATTGGGAGGTAGGGTGCCTGGCCACCTCAGCAATTTCTCCTGCAGCCTGACAGGAGCTTGACAAGTTGCTGACCTCTCCCCAGTCCTTGCCATGGCCTTGGTTGTTGGAGACCCAGCAGCTCTGGAGGGGGAGATAATGCCTTGTGCCTATTTGTGCTTAATGTGGGGATTGAACTCTGGAAAAGCTCTGAGGAGAACCGTAGGGCACAGGCATGACACAGTTCCAGTCAAAAGGATGCTGCTTGCAGGGAAGCTGATAATAAGATTGTGTTGCAGAGGTGGAGGAAGAATACAGGGAGAAGGGAGTATTGCTTAATTCACATTATCCCCAACCAAGAGCTCTGCAGGATTTCATAGACATTAGGGCTGGAAGGGACCTCGGAAGATCATCGAGTCCAGCCCCCTGCCCAAAGGGCAGGAAGTCAGCTGGGGTCATAGGATCCCAGCAAGATAAGCATCCAGTTTCATCTTGAAGGTGTTCAATGAAGGCGCTTGAACCACCTCCGGTGGCAGGCTGTTCCAGACCTTGGGGGCTCGGACAGTAAAGAAATTCTTCCTTATGTCCAGCCTGAAACGGTCTTGAAGTAGTTTGACCATTTGACCTCGTCATCCCTTGGGGTGCTCTGGTGAACAAACGTTCCCCCAGATACTGGTGGTCACCCCTGATAAACTTGTAGGTGGCCATCAGATCACCCCTGAGCCTGTGCTTTTCCAGGCTAAAGAGCCCAGGGCTCTCAGCCTGTCATCGTAGGGTCTGCTTCCCTGACCTCTGATCATGCGCGTGGCTCTTCTCTGGACTCTGAGATACGGAAGGTCTGCCTCATTTTAAATTGGATACTGATACTTAAGGGTTCTTTAATCTACCAAAGGCAGAAATGGGATTAGTGGCTGGTTAAGTGCTAGGGTTGGTAACATTCAAGCATGAAAATAAGTGACCTCTCTTCAGTAGTCAGGGTCATCAGCCACCAGGTCACTTACAGTCATCTGTCACTGGACATCTAAGCCAAATTAGGGTGACTGCTCATGTGACCCACTCTGTCCTCCTATGGTGGTTACTGTGGGAGGCAGTGGGGAATGTTCTTTGGCTTGTGCAGTGAAGGAGTTGACAATTATTTCTGTAAAAAGTCATGGCCTGTCATTGCTTTGGGACAGGTACTTGACATGCAGCACCCGAGACGGGTGTTTTTCAGTCCCATCCAGATCTTGTTGAGTTGCCATCTGCTGGAAAATGCCATTTGCATGTGTTTAGTAGACATTTGTTAAAAGCTGGTGGTAGCCACAAAACCTTCCAGAAATGTTGTCTGCTCTGAATATGTTCCAGCCTATGGCTACCAGAGCTAAGCAAGACTTCCATTGCACTTGTTTTTCACAGGGGTTGGGGGCCCCATCATACAGACACCCAAACTGAGAGCAGAGGCTTTGTCTCCTGTGCTTTTAGTTCTACCCTTGCTGGTGCCCACACCAGAAAAGAAATGGTAAAAGCATTCTGACTGAAACAGTGTGGGTTAAAGGGAGAGAATCAGGAACAATCAGAGAAGTGGGCAGCTATGGAGGGCATGAGTCAGAAGAGTCTCCAACCACTGGTTCTCAACCTTGTTAGACTCAAGGCACTCATTAAACTCTGGTGGACAATTACTGTACTAGAGAATATTTCCTTTTCAAGCAGTACCCAGGAGTCCCAGCATTCTTCTGTCTAGCAAAAAGCCTATGAACTCCTTTGCAAATTGTGTACCTCATCCCTGACATGGGACAGAGATTGCTGCTGCTAGTTATTCCATTAGCTCAGATGGGGGTGCTCTCTGCTGTCAATTTAAAGCTTCTCATGGTGTTGATGACCCAGGGAAGGAAGAAGTTTAATGTATACATTGTGGTTCCACCCAGTGGTGCTTGGCTTTTTGTGTTTTGCTTTTCTAAAGTCATGGGAAAATACCTGGAAACCGACTTTAAAAGGATGTTAAGGTTGCATGTTTGACTTTACAGTGCATTTTCTAACATTTGCAATAGGGTCTTTAATGACATGTGGTTACTGATGGTATAGGGTTGCCTGTAGAACAGTGAAGCTAGGGAATCTCAAAATGCTTGCACACCAGGGTTTGGATTTAAGTATGCATGGATATTTGCGAGTCTGGCATTTCCCAACTTCTGAGTACTTGGCTTTGCAAGCTGCATATCTCTCATATTGGGTCTTGTGCACGCAGAGAGAGATGCGAGTCTTTCAAGGTGTGAGCTCATCACCAGTTGGCAGGGCTAGGAGGACACATCCCCTGTGGACAGGCTAATTGAACTTCAGTGTTTGATCACTCCTTTGGGGCAGCTGCCCCTGGCCAGTGCTAGAAATAGGACCCTGGGCTGGATGGGCTCTGTTTTGGTCAGACCTTACGCTTGTTGTGACCCATATCCATGTGACTCAAACCCTGCCCAAATCTATGTAGCTTTGTAGAGCAGAAGACTCCAAATCCTAGAGTAGGTGGGAGTAGGGTGTCATGAGAAGCTCAGGAGGGATGGTGATGGTCCTGTGAAGTGCTAGATGGAGCTTTGGGCCTGGCCTCTGCCATTTCTTGCACTGTGTATGTGGTACTGGGGTGCTTCCTTCCACAAATGTACCCCAAACCCCACAGTCTGGAGTGAAAATGGGATCTGAACTGTGCCAGAGATGGGGCTGAGGGCTTCTGTACTCCCTAGCTAGCACTGAGGTGGCTCGGACCTCAGGCTTCATGTGCTCCATAAATCATGGTGTGAACATGGATTAACAGGTTCCTTTCCCTTCTAGGTGGTGCTATGGCTCAACAGGTTCCAGTCCAAGCCATCCAGGTGCACCAGGCCCCACAGCAAACGTCTCCTTCCAGTGACAGCAGCACTGATCTCACCCAGACCTCTTCCAGTGGAACAGGTAACCTGCCTCCTTTCTGGCTGGTGCAGTATCTCATTTGCAGGTCCAGCTCCAGGCACCGATGTCAGATAGTGATGACTTGGCAACATACCATGCTTTCTGGCTTCTGCTCTGGATGTCATTCCTGGCTTTTCCTTCTCCCCCTTCTGTACCTGTGGGCTTTGGACCTGTGATCTTAGTTTTCCTGGTGATATGTGGGACTGGCTAGGGTAGATGGGAGTTGGTGATAATGCTTGGTTGTGCTGCTGCCTAAGGATGTAGAGGGGAGTCTATGTTTCCTGCATGGACTGAAGTCTGTTGCTAATTTCCAGATTCCTTAATCAAAGATTAAAGTTTTAAATAGTAACCTGTGGAGATATGTCTGCCACATACATGGATGAGAAAAGCATGGGGGGCAAAAACTGTATCCAGCCCTGGCTGAGCTCAGAGCCTAGCAGGGGGTGGGCTGAATCGCAACTGTGCAAGGCAGGGTAGGTTCTTCACTGGGAACAGGGAGCAAGAGCTGAGGATATCAGAGTGAAGAATGAAGCACCCCTCAGACTATCCCAGTGTTGTGTCCCTGAGACCACTCTGAAAATGGGGATCATAACAGAACCCAATGTTTTGCAGAGTGCCGGTGGGTGTAACAACATTTACTCCCATTGTGCAAATGGTCCTTAAGTAAGAAGCTGGACTGAATAGTTGTAAGTGACAAGCTGCTTCTTGGGCCACCTCAGTGCACACATTCCTTCAGAGCTTAGGTTTTTCACAAGGCTTTGGGAAGTCCCATACCATGTGACATTTCTCTACTTTGCTAGCTAGTCTGGAGAGGGGTTGGAAATTGCTGTTCGCTTTTGTATGAGGGGGGCTCAAAGGATTTTCTCCTCTTGTTTTTCATTTTGCAAGTACTCCTTGAACAGCAAACTGAATTGTTTGATTTATGACTGAAAAACTACCTATTGACCTGTGCCTGCCTAACAGTTGTGAAGATGGATCAGCTGGGAAGATCTGCAAGGTTGTTTGTAGAAGTTGGCATCTGAGCTGCTTACACATCCAGGATTGGCAGACTGGAAGGGACAGAAAGAAAGGGCAGTGCCTTGCAGGAAAATAAAGTTCTGCATTAGAGGTGTCCCCTCCTGGTATGACAGGCACAGGGATGTGTTGCTGGGGGAAACCTGGCATTTACCAGTGGATAAACCCAGTTCCTCCTCCAGTGACCATATGTGCAAGGGCAAAGAGTTGGGGTGTTGTAGGACAGTGCTTTGTGCTGAATGACTCCTGGCTGTGAGTAGCAGAGTCAAACCTCTTCAGAGGAACATGGGGTAGCCAGAGGTGTTTCATCATTCTCACATCCTCAGCTTTTGCTTCATGGTCCCAATGCCAAGGCCACTGCACTGGACTGGGCAGGGTAGGGCAGGGCTGTGCCTGCCCCACAGGGAGTGTGCAGCTTCGTACCAGGGCTGGATATGGTTTAATTCTCTGCTGAAATATCCATCTGATGGAAATGTTTTTATCATCTCTTTCCTATCACTTACTAAAGAGTTGGTAAGTCATTTTCTCTCCACTGAACAGCCCCACATGCCTTCTGTGTTGGCAGCTCTACTAGTTTGCCTGCTAGAGCTGGGCAAAGGTGACTGGTACTGTGCAGAGTAAAGAACTGGTTACTAGTGACATCTGGTGGTTGCAGTGGTCATTGCATGATACCATCTGTGGTATGATTGGTGATGCTCACCCTTGCCACCTGTGTAGAAGAGGTGGCTTGAGAATTCAAGCCAATGGTGAGAAATATCTTGATTGCATGCTTTCAGGAGGCTTGGAGTGGGTGAGCTGTACTGTGCCGTAAAGCAAGGAAGTGACAATCCAGTGGCCCTTTTTCTATAAGAAGCCAGGGTAACTTTGTACCTTATAGACTAACCAATGTAGATATATAACACAAGCTTTTGTGAGTTGTAGCTCAGTTCATCATGCTGAGTCAAGGTTTGCCTCAGTTAATTTGGCCTTAAAAAAAGTCCTGGTCTGGCCCCACTTCTGCTCAGGCTCTTGGCCCCTCTCCAGACTCCCTGAATTTGCTGTCAGGTATTGCTCTCTGCAGTGCTGTGCTGCCAGCACCTTTCTCCTCACTTTCCAGTCTGTGCTTCTCAATATTTGTCCTTCCTATTGGTCTCTCTTGTTGCCTGGAGCTCTAGGCCCATCCTCCTTAAGCCGTCCTCTGCCTTTGGACACCACTGACTGTGCTCTACAGTTCTTCCCCTCTTTTTGCATCTGTGAATCCACTCTCCTGTGGTTCTCCTCCTCACTCTCTTAGCTGTTCATTTAGTGAGTTCCCTTCATCCCCATTCCAGACCATGGTGGGGGCCCCACAGGGCTCCCTACGGAGCTCCTTTGAGTTCTCATCTCCTGTCCAAACAGAAACCTTGGCCAGCCTTCTGACCCCTGTCCATTCAACAGCTCAGTGTGTCAGAAACCTGCACGTGATCATCTCAGCTCCCATACCTGCTTTTGGTATTGCCAAAATAGTAGTACCACTATCCACTGTCACTCACGCTCATAACCCAGGCATGATGTCTTTGACCTGGGTTTCTTTGCAGATTTGCATCTGCAGGCCATAGCAAAATTCAGCCACTTTTGTACACAATACATCTCGTACTACAGATGTACTTTAAGGAGGATGTACTGTATCCATGCACAATTATACATCTTTATATGTATTTGTCAGGCTCTTAATTTTTATATTTGTATGGTGTTAAGAAGTGGAGAATTATGTATTCATTTAATAGGTACTTATGATTTTTTTTTGTTTCTGATTAGTGTCAGGCTACATTTGCATTGAAATCAGAATTTAGTTAAAATTTCACACACACAGCATTTTAAAACTTTTTAGTAGTTAAAACTCCTTGAAATGTGCTGGGTATTTATGGAGAAACAAGCATACCAAAATATTATTTAGCTTTAAGCCCTAACTAATTTAATAAACAGAAAAAGTATTATCTATAACTAGTAAAATTGAACTATTTCTTGCGACTGTGACCCTCAATTTTAGAACTAGTAGACTTTATCATCTAACACTTTTTAAATTCATTTGAATTATAAAACAGACTTTCTTGCTTTTTCCAACACCCAGTCTCTTAACTTAGACTGAACTTGTCATTAAATTGAAACTAGGTGAATATCTTGATGCAAAGAAAATATTCTCTGCATCTGCAGAAGAGGCGACTGCTGTCAAAGCTGGTTTGGCCATTCAACAAACTCTTATTCTGGGTGCCCAGTGCCTCCCATCTGCTGCTGACCTGCTTTAGAACATCAGTAGCAGTTTTGAACTGCATAATATTTTTAATTTAAATTCTGTCAGTAGATTATTAAGAGCTAAACTTATTACAGAGTTTTTTATAATTACAGATGTAATATTTAAAGAGTGTATTTTAAAAAGAAAAAGGATTACATTGTAATTTTTAAAAGAAGAAACCATTTAAAAAAAATGTAAATAACATTTAAAATACCCACTTTTAAACCTTTCTAAGAACCATTTTTTTTAAACCTGAGTACAACTGGTGCTGGCTATATTTCTTTATTCACCCACCCTAGCCATCTGCTACCACGTAGCTCTCACCTGCTTATGGCTTTCAGCTGTCCTAGCTACTCCCAGCCACCCTTTTACTGGGAAGGCTCTCACTTTCTTGTTGATTCTCTGCGTCCCTGCTTGGAAGTTCATAGATTCATAGATGTTAGGGCCGGAAGGGACCTCAATAGATCATCGAGTCTGACCCCCTGCATGAGCAGGGAAGAGTGCTGGGTTCAGATGACCCCAGCCAGATGCCTATCTAACCTCCTCTTGAAGACCCCCAGGGTAGGGGAGAGCACCACCTCCCTTGGGAGTCCATTCCAGATTTTGGCCACTCTAACTGTGAAGAAGTTCTTCCTAATGTCCAGTCTAAATCTGTTCTCTGCTAACTTATGGCCATTATTTCTTGTGACCCCCAGGGGTGCCTTGGTGAGTAGAACCTCACCAATTCCCTTCTGTGCCCCCATGATGAATTTATAGGCAGCCACAAGGTTGCCTCTCAACCTTCTCTTGCGGAGGCTGAAGAAGTCCAGGTGCCCCAGTCTCTCCTCATAGGGCTTGGCCTGCAAGCCCTTAACCATACGAGTGGCCCTTCTCTGGACCCTCTCCAG